AGTTTAGACAAATACAGACAAAAGCCAACAACCTGTATACCATGGTTTCAGGCTATGACCCTCATCAGTACAGGGACGGCTTCTATTTTATAACATCCTACGAAAGGGGTAAGGAATCGGTCAAATTTACCAAATTTACATATAAATGTATTAAGGCGTATATTACTAGAGAGATAGAGGCTGTCTGCCATATTTCTTCAAATAAAAGACACTTCGGCCAAGAGACAATAAAAAGATTTATTAGAGAGATGTATGTTTGAAAGAGATTCTGCCTTTCAAAAATGTATTTAAACGCATTTTCTTCATATCCTTTAAGCAAATCGTGAGATTTGGGTAATTGGAATTATCCACATGCCAGCTGTGTAAAATCTGTATAAAGTCAACTAATTGGTTCCTAAATACAGCCCTTATCTGTTATACGTTTGTTTCTTGACATACTACGGTATTACGGTGCACTTTTAAAAAGAATCTTACGCGTCTAAAACAGTTTCCAATTTTCATACTACGGTATAAATGATGAGCAATCTACTTGAATAGTGTACAGACTCAAATAGTAGTGTTGGTATATAGATTTTCCAAGTATACGTTGTACAGGCCATGATAATCATGCTAAGTACGTAGTTAGCTGCTGCCAAACTGTAGGTACACAACATGTTGTAGATAAATGATAAAACTAACTTTGACTTGTGCTTAATTAATAGGTAGAAAATCTTACTTTTGATAATCTTTAAGATAATAAACTTAGTGATAATAAAACTTATGGATAAAAAAACTTGTTGGTAATCAAACTTATAGATTATAAAACTTGTTGGTATTCAAACTTTTAGATAAAAAAACTTAGATGTAATAAAAAACTTATCGGTAAATAAGAACACTATTTATAAACCTTTTGGTAAAAAAACTTGCTTAAATATATGTTTAAAATAGTGTACTTAACTTGGATAATTAAAGATTGACATTGGATTAAATTTAGGTACTTTAATTAAAACATAAGGATTAAATATGAAAATGTTCGACGCGCGTTTAAATGGCGTCGCTTCCCTTCTTGGTAAAAGTTCTTTCTGCTTCTTTTTTTCCGCCGCGCATGCGCATCACACTGATTCTTCGTCACCAACTACGGAGGCGCGCCTCTTCTCACCGGCGGTGGCGCCGCCAGGCGAGCTTAGCTAGATTTGGTCAATCTAACTTCTCCACAACTCGTAGAAAGTAGTTCGAAATTTGCACTTACAAGTGTGCCAGAGTTCCGTTTAGTTACTTGCACTCACTGGTGAGGTTGGACTTTTGTAAGAATCGGAGGACCATTGAGAATTTTCTTTTTTCAGGAAAAAAAATCCCCAATACGGGAATCGATCCCGGGTTATTGCTGTCGAAAATCGACGATTCATACCAAACTCCACCGTAAACTAGGAGTGACTATATAAACCAGAATTATATATGTGATAGGTGGTATGGATATGTTTATTGTATGTAGACATCAACTACCATAACTATATTATAATATTGTAGCGTAGAAATCAGGTCTTTGTATATCTGAAGATATGAAAGTATTTATTGATGACGTCACCACGACCAGTCGACTAACCCCCACTATCTACAGCTAGAGAATATCGAGCAAGCAAGCTAACCAACTAAATGATGATTTTACAAATAATAAATCTGTTTTCAAATATTTTCATTGAATAATATTAAATTAAATAATTAATTTATTTCTTCTCCACAATATTATAAACTCAAATCTTCTAAAGAACATGTTTATTTTCGCTAGAACGACATCGTTCTCCAACGGACGTAAAGACCTTTTTTATTAAAGGGGGACTCTGGTATAATGGACGGTTTCTCAGGTTGAATGAGTGTACTGTTTGGTTAACATATTGCAACATCATGGATCTGGTATCCTTACTTGTGATGTTCCTTCATTCTGATGGCCCGTTGAAGAACAACATCGTTCTACAACGGGCATAAAGACCTTTTTTCTTTTATTAAAGGGGGACTCTGGTATAATGGACGGTTTCTCAGGTTGAATGAGTGTACTGTTTGGTTAACATATTGCAACATCATGGATCTGGTATCCTTACTTGTGATGTTCCTTCATTCTGATGGCCCGTTGAAGAACAACATCGTTCTACAACGGGCATAAAGACCTTTTTTCTTTTATTAAAGGGAGACTCTGGTATAATGGACGGTTTCTCAGGTTGAATGAGTGTACTGTTTGGTTAACATATTGCAACATCATGGATCTGGTATCCTTACTTGTGATGTTCCTTCATTCTGATGGCCCGTTGAAGAACAACATCGTTCTACAACGGGCATAAAGACCTTTTTTCTTTTATTAAAGGGAGACTCTGGTATAATGGACGGTTTCTCAGGTTGAATGAGTGTACTGTTTGGTTAACATATTGCAACATCATGGATCTGGTATCCTTACTTGTGATGTTCCTTCATTCTGATGGCCCGTTGAAGAACAACATCGTTCTACAACGGGCATAAAGACCTTTTTTCTTTTATTAAAGGGAGACTCTGGTATAATGGACGGTTTCTCAGGTTGAATGAGTGTACTGTTTGGTTAACATGTTGGAACATCATGTATCTTGTATCCTTACTTTGTCATGTTCCTTCATTCTGATGGCCCGTTGAATAACGATATCGTTCGAAAGCTAGCAAAATAAACATCTTCTATGAAAATTAGAAACTATTTTAGACGCGTAAGATTCTTTTTTAAATGAAACAATTTCTACTGCCCTTGCTGCAATGGCAAAAATTAATAGGAGTGTCTGGCTAATCAGTGGTGAACCCTCCCAGCGGTTTCACCACTGATGAGCCAGGCCCTCCGATTATTTTTTCCATTGCAGTAAGGGCAGTAGAAATTGTTTCATTTCAAAAAGAATCTTACGCGTCTAAAATAGTTTCTAATTTTCATAACAGATGGCGCACTAGTGCATCGAAACATGTTCTATAGAAAAGAAGCTCCTTTTGAGTTTATAATCTTACAATATGTTTATTATGTGGCACAAAAAAAAGGCAATAGTTTATTTTTATTTTTAAAAAAGCGAGTTGTTTTTTTAGTGAAATGTGTGAATTTCTAATGTAGATATCCCATTTTTGCGAAATATATAAACTATTTTTCTGATTTAATTGTAATTATACCTTTTAAATAGGTTTTTTTAAATACGAGTTCTTCTCTCTCCCTCGAGAGAGAGGGTAATATTGAGAAAATATAAACTATAGATTAGGAGGGAAAGAGATAGAGGCAATATTATGAGAAAATAAAAGAGTTAGCGCGTTTATCTTAATGTATGTAACTTCGTGTTGAGAATTTACATAAAGAAAAATACCATTATAATGATCATAGCATATTCTATACGGATTACTTGGGTAAATGCCTTTTTGTTCGGATAAAAAAGTAATGATCTTGTGTTAAAAAAGCGAATATTGTGTCTTTTTCGCATATAAATATCATATTAACACAAAGCAATAACGCGCCATCTATACATATAAAATTGAAGGATTTAAAAGCACGAATGTTTCTTTTATACATAATACAAACTTCTACTGCCCTTACTGCGATGAAAAAATATATTGAGAGGGCTTGGCTCATCAGTGGTGAACCCTCCCAGCGGTTTCGCCAATTTAATCCACCAGACCGCTTCTCAGAGCTCTAATACTGTATTGGAAGATTCTGCTTATATACGCAGCACTGAAGGATGTAATCTCAGAAATGGTTTTCAAGAAAACTATGGACATAAGCTTATAGGACAGTAGAATTACATTCAAATATTTGAATCGAGCAATGCTCTTCCGCAAACTATAAAGACAAGGCCAGTTAGGCATAAATTAACACAAAGCAATAACGCGCCATCTATACATATAAAATGAAAGGATGAAATGAAATGAATCGCAGTAAGGACAGTAGAAGTTTGTATTATGTATGAAAGAAACATTCGTGCTTTTAAATCCTTTCATTTTATATAAATATCATATTATCGCAAACTATCAAATATTTTTCTTAATATTCTACTCCTGTAGAAGGACTGACAGGTCCGAAAGCTAGAGAATAAAATTTGAACAAGAAACTTAGCCCTGGAGACTTTCTTTATAATATCAAATATTTGGCTGATTTATAATACGTATATCTTTCTAAAAATACTGTGATTTATGAATGCATTTAATGTTTGTGAGAAGAGAGAGAAACAAAAAGAAAGTGTTAAGTAAAGAGTTGATTGAAATAATAACAAAAACTGTGTGTAGCAAAATTTCAAATGCAGATTGCGACAAAAAAAATGAAAATATAAAAAGATTCCTTACCTTTATTCCTGAGGCGTCTTCTACATCAGAAACTTTGAACTAAAGACGAAAAAGTGACAAATATGCAAATTCCATAAATCTTTCTTTTTTGTTGTATTTTCAAATATGATAATTTTGAATATTCTTCAAGATAAGAGGTTAATCACAAACTTGTTAAATAATCTAAACAGAAAAGGAAAGATAATTTAAAAATTAATCAAAAATAAATAAGAATTATTAAATATGTAATTAAAATAAAAATCAGTATTAATTATAACCTTTATTTCTGGTCACCTCTATACACAAAGGCCAATCATTGATAGGATATTTATACAGACAATAAAATGATAGATTTCCAGAAATTCCACCACAATATATACGCAACTTGGTCCGAAATAAGAAAAAAAACTTATTAATAAACCTATCCATTTATATTAACATAATGCCATATGCAAATAGAATATATTTGCATAATAACAAAATAAGTATTATAAAGGACTGCGGCGTATGATTATAAAGCAACACTTAAAGCCTCCCCGCATAAGTTTCTTTTTTTGTGAAAAATCAATATTAATTTCAAAGAGAAATATGTACTATTTCTAACTTTTTGGATGACGTATGAAAAGGTTGAATATATGAAGAGTAATGGTCTATATATGATTGGATGACGTATGAAAGGGTGAAAATATGAAGAGTAATGGCGAACGGAAAAATAAAAGTGTCCAGGGGCGGGAATCGAACCCACATCCTTCTGCTTACCGGGCAGGTGCCATGTCCACTAGGCACCTTTTCATACGTCATCCAAAAAGTTAGAAATAGTACATATTTCTCTTTGAAATTAATATTGATTTTTTACAAAAAAGAAACTTATTCGGGGAGGCTTTAAGTGTTGCTTTATAATAATACGCCGCAGTCCTTTATAATATTATAAGTTACTTTAAGTATTAGTTACGAACGGAAAAATACGTCCAGGGTAGCCTAGTGGACATGGCACCTGCCCGGTAAGCAGAAGGATGTGGGTTCGATTCCCGCCCCTGGACACTTTTATTTTTCCGTTCGCCATTACTCTTCATATTTTCACCCTTTCATACGTCATCCAATCATATATAGACCATTACTCTTCATATATTCAACCTTTTCATACGTCATCCAAAAAGTTAGAAATAGTACATATCTCTCTTTGAAATTAATATTGATTTTTCACAAAAAAAGAAACTTATGCGGGGAGGCTTTAAGTGTTGCTTTAAAATAAGTATTATTTGAAATAACTTTTTACATTTGAGTTATTTAAAAAAATTAAATGCCAAGCAATAACACACGCCACCCACACTCATAGACAAACTTAAGGAAGTTGTAACTATTATCGTGTATATCTGGGTTATAACTCTGAAATATATTACTTTATTGTAGACACACGAGATAACCAAATGTGAACTAAATTGACTGCCTCCTTAAAAAAAAAAAAAAAAAAAAAAAAAAAACAGCGACCGTCGATAGCAGAGACTTTACACTTCCTTAAATAAACCATTAAAAATGAATTTGTAAAAAAAAAACCTCTAATTAATCTTAATATTGATGAATATCCCAGCGGTTTCGCCAGTTTAATTCACAATACCGCTTTTTATGGAGCTCGAATAGTCTATTGTACCATTCTGCTTATATACACTGTAAGGTGGAATCTTGGTTATGGTATTTAGGCAAACTATGAACTTAGAGGACAGTAGAATTTCATATAAATGTTTATTTAAAAAGCCATATATTGGATCATAAAATATATATACATTTTTTTAAAACCAAAATTGTGTTATAACTTGGAAAAACGATAAAATTCAGTCAACTGATATTTAGGTAGATAAATTATATTTCGATCCAATGTATGCTTTTTTAAAGTTAAAAATCTATTTATGTATTTCTCTATTTTACATAATATTGAGTATCGAACAGTGCTCTTCTGCAAACTCTCCATACAAGGTCAAATAAGTATAAACTAAGCATAACACACACAATCTATATATATATAAAATAAAATAATTAACTACGAAATTTTAATTTATAAATTAAACAAACTTTACACCAAACATCTATTTAGCCTAAAATGTGTTGGTTTATTTTCCAGAGTGGTTCGTCTGCTTTAAATTTCACGGCGCATTACCAAATTTTAACACCAAAAGATTGTTGACTTTGCTTAGCCTTTTTAAAGATACTGTCTTCAAGAAGATTGCTAAAATAGTATTTTTATTGATTTACTAGAGAGAAAGAGAGCAAATAATATAATAACTTATAACAAAAGTAAACAAAAAAAAACTTTTCTTACGGTTAGCTCCTATTTTCTTGTGATCTTACACACATATACTCTGTGAGAAAAATTAATTAATTAAACTTAAAATATATATATACAACAACAACAAAAATAAATACCAAACATGTCAAGAAAAGATACAATTCAATAACAATGTAATATTTATGTTTATATATAAATAAAAAAACATGAGATATACTGCAAATATCTATTTTATTTAACAATATACATGTGATGAAGAAAAAAACAAAGAGTTTATAAGCATTCTCTTTAAAAAATAGTTCTTTTTATATGTATCATTTATTTTTTGTGTGTGCTGCATGATCGTTTTTTATATATTTTATTGAAATGGTTTTCCTTAAAATGTGATATGGTGAAAATCAAACTTGATACCACGCTATTTAATTTACCTAAAAGCTTTTGTCAAGATAACTGATATGCTGTTTTGTAACGTAAAAAAAGAAGATGTATTTTTTTTTAAGTATACAAAATAGATCAAACCTACTTTATATTAAGTTATTCAATTTTGGATGCGAAAATAAAGTGCAAACTTTTAATATTTTTTATCTAAACTCTCCCAGCTTCTCTTTTTCACATAATGTTAATATCTTTTGACATTTTATTATTATTCTTTATATTTTTTAAAAGTTCGGTTTTTTCTTGTCTTATATAAAATTATTTTTTAAAAATTATATTATCGCTCTTTAATATGATAATGGTATTAAAATTTTAAAATATTGTATTTTTTATATATAAAAAAAACGAATTTTCTATTTGAAAAATGCCAAAAGATAATATTATGTATTCAAACGTGCAGAGGTATTTTAAATTGTATATTTAAAACATAATTTTATAATATTTTATGAGCGATACATGGAAATATTTCAAAATATATTTTTAAAATAACATTGAATGTTAGAATATATATATTTTTTAAAATATAAATTAAAAACACAATATTTAAAGGTTAACCCAATATATAGTTAAATTTGTAAATATACACACACATTGACCTTTTGTATTTTAATATTAAAAAAATAAAATATATTTTTCGGGGGAAAATTATTTTTCAAAAATATATTTTATGCTTAAAATAGAAATATATTAATAAATTCACTTTTAAATATAATTAAATTTACTAAAAAATAATTTATATTGATAAACACTTTAAGCTCTATCAATTATAATGCAATTTGGTATATAATATTAATTTCTACTAACATACACACAACTTCATTTTAAAATACATAATTATTGTATTTAAATTTACATTAGCTTATTTTACAAATATATCGATAAATCAAAAGTTGATTTAAAACAAACATTTTTAGAAGAATAAAATTAGCTGTGTTTTCTGTTAGGAATATATAGACCACACGAAGTTTGTAAAAGAAGTTTAAAAACTTACTTATTTTTATAATAATAAATAAATATTTTGATTTTGTTTCTTCCGATTAAAATATTCTTTGCGATAAAAAGGCTTTATTAAATAATATTTTAAATTAATGCAGTGTTCCGTGTTTAAAAATAAAAACAGAAATATTGATATATTGATATAAGTATAAAATATCTAGTGCTTCTTATTTCACGATAAATGATGATAAATTATATCATATTTCATACATATTTAGAAAATTATAAATTTATTTCATTGATATATCTATTTTGTGAATAATTATATGTGAGCTCTATGTAAAAAATAAGATAATTTAAAAGAGAAAATTATTTTTTAAGCGTTTTAAATATTATATTATGAAATACGAAATATCTGAGGGAAATAAAATTGTCAAATTTGAAAATATTAAAAATATCAAATTTATTAATTAGGTTAATATTTATTTTTGCACATATAAAGAAAGAATAAAAATAATATTTGAAATAAATTTAAATATAAAATATTCTTCAAATAATATTGAATTCGATTTAAAAAATATATTTTTAATCAGGATATTTTAGATTTATTGCACATGCGTCTAAATAAATTAATTTAAAGTTGAGTTATTTCGTTTTTTAAGGTTGAAATAAGAGACGGCTCTCAATATATTGTATTATATTAATAAATTTTCTATATAATATCTATATAATTACTCAAACCTTCAATATATATCCTGCCAAAGTATTCCACATTCTATCCAGCATTAATACAAAATTATATTTATCAAAGAAAAAAAAAAGGGAAACGTTAGTCAGAGAAACATTGTGAATGTAAAAAACCCAAACGAGTATTTGGATCAAAATACTGAAGATATAAATGAATGAAAACAGATATCGATGCTTCATGCCAATCAATATTGAAAATATTATTGATCTCTTGTCAATACAAGGGATCAATACTTGTGTGTTTGGCTATATATATATATATATAACCTGTTAGACTCCTGGACCATGGCATAGATACTGCTAAAATCTATTTATTTTGACCAAGATCATTTATGTGATGTTTTTTTTTATCACCACCAATTTAAGAATCCTTAAATATTAAAAGTAAAAGCGTTCCTATTCAAAAATAAACTTTTTAATATATATTAGCCTACTATTTTTTTCTCTTGAATTGTCGTATAAAGAAATAATTCTGGTCAAATATCAATAAACGGGCTCGTAGAATATTGTTCATTGTGTGACCTATTTTTCAAAAAACGATAATTACATATTTTACCTTTATTTTAATTTCTATATATATATATTATCCAAAGTACGTAGGTATTTTATAAAGAATGAATTCCTTCAATGCATACCATTGATATAGTAGTGAGCCCTGGGTTATAATACTGTAGATGCTAGATGTGGGGTTATAGAGGGGAATTATTGGGCAGAATACTGCTGATTTTACTTCTGTATTGTGACTTGGGTTGTAGTACTGTAGATATCAGAAAATTAGCGAATGAATCAATATATACTTATATATAGTAGTGTGCCTTAGGCTCTGTAGTACTGTATATATCAGCTGGTTTAAGAGTAGGGTGAATGGAAATTATATTGTAGATGTTTATCTAGTATTGTGTATGCCTTGGATTGTAGTACTTTAAAGATGTCAGATGGTTGGAGAAAAGGGAATTAATAAGAATTATATTGTAGAGGTATCTAGAGTATTTTGTCCTGGGCTGTAGTTCTGTAGATATCAGATGGTTGGCGAGTGAGAACACTATATATTATAAATAGTATTATGCATTTGGCTGTAGTACTGTAGATGTCAGATGGTTGGAGGGTGGAATTAATGGGAATTATATCTTAGATGTCTCTTTAGTATTGTATTTGAGAGGGCTCTAGTAATGTAGATGTCAGCTGGATGGAAAGAGGAATTAATGGGAATTATTTCGTAGATGTAAATCTATTATTGTATTTGAGGGCTCTATTTTTGTAGATGTCTTTGTTGTTTAGTGAAATCGATGGGAAGTAAATAGCAGATGTATCTCCAGTATTGTATTTGAGGACTGTAATACTGTAGATGTCAGATAATCGGAGAGTTAATACGGTTTATATTGTAGATATACCT